AGCTGTAGTGGCCTTCAGTACTGCACCCTAACCACTGCGCCACCTCGGCTCTTTAATTAAGAACAATTAATCAGAGTAAATGCTTGCCTCCAGATGTTGTGGGTGCACCAACACTGGAGGTTTTTAAGAAGAGACTGGACAACCATTTGTCTGAAATGATATACAGTATCCTGTTTGAGCAGGGGGTTGGACTAGAAGACCTCCAAAGTCCCTTCCTATTCTGTTATTTATTGCTATTTTACTAGGCACCTAAGCCCAATAGTGCAATTGTGAATGATTTCGAGTAGTACACATCCCAAACATATGAAAGTCAAAAAAATACTCAACACAATAAGAACAAAGCATATTAATAACACAATGAATAATCATAGTCAGTAGAATCAGGAATATTAATCAGTTAATCCATGAAATCAACCCCCGTAAAGCAGCATCCCATGGCCAGGGGAAATAAGATGGAAACAACATGGCCTGCTAGAATAACCAAGTTTCAAAGGAGTTCTTGGAAAGCAACAGGAAAAAGGGCTATTGGACCTCAGAGAAGATGTGGTTCTGCAAGAGGGGAGTATCGGTTATCTCATTTCTCTGATTACTGAAGATTCCTGGAGTAAAGGGTTACTTGTCCTTTGATCTTGGAGATGATTAGATACTATTGGGAATCGCAAACATTAGGAATCTAGTAGAACAGGGGTGGCCCATGGGCCGGATGTATCACCCGTTGACCATGTCCATCCCCGTTTTAGCAAAGGGGGGGGGAGTCATGATATGTCACGTGACGCCAACCTGACAATGCAAGTTTGACACCCCTGTAGTAGAAGCTTTCAGACTAATAAACTTCATTAAAAGGCAGAAGTCTCCAGTTAGCAAAGCTTTAGTAAAATTTATTAGAGGTAGTCTTATGATCACAATGGAGCCCTGAATTTTTTAAGTCAGGCATTTGTTAATTTGCCCCATTTTACGACCTTTCTTGCCTCAGTTGTTAAGTGAATTACCGCAATTGATAATTTAGGAACCCAGTTATTAAGTGAATCTGGCTTCCCCATTGGCTTTGATTGTCAGGGGTTGCAAAAGGAGACAGAGCAACGGTCATAAATATGAACCTGTTGCCAAGCATCTGAATTTTATATCACAAGATCACGGGGATGCTGCAAAGGACACAAAGGGTCACAAGTCACTTTTTTCAATGCCATTGTGGCTTTGAATGGTCACTAAATGAAAAGTTGTAAGTCAAGGACTACCTATAGTCTGAAAGCTACTACCAAATTTCTGCTTGAAATAAGTTTCTGCTTAAGTGACTGTGGATCTCCTCCAATAATATCTATTGAAGGAAGATGGTCCTGGAGGTACATGGATGCTGAGCAATCAACCAGTCCTTGAATGGGCATCTAGAAGCAATGGGGCTATCTGGACCAATCAGGATTCAGCAAGAACAACCATATCAAACAGCTCCGAGGATCCTTTTTCTCCCCCTGGGTTGTGGGCAGCGTTTCAGAAGCAAAATTGGCCACTGGGGCTCACCTGTATTCCCAGTTACTCCCCTTCCCATACTGCTGTTTCCTAAATATGAGTAATCCTCAACTTGTGGCCACAACTGGAACGTCCGTTGCTAAATAAGGACATTGCTGAATGCGTCATGCATGATTTTACGACCCTTTTTGCCATGGTTGTTAAGTGAAAGAACTGAAGCTGTTAAGTGAATCATGCAGTCGTTAAACAAATCTAGCTTCAAAATGCCACCCCGAGAACCCATCAGAGAAAATGAATAAGTAAAGGCAACAACGGAAAGGAAGAGGGATGAGGAGGAAAAGGAAGAAAGGGTAAAGCAGAGGAAGTAACGGTGGGGAAGTAAGAGCAGGAGAGAGGGCAAGAAAGAGGAGAAGGGAAGAGGAGAGGGGAAAGATAGGGGAAGAAGAAAGGAGGAAGGAGGGGAGGAAAGAAGAAGGTAGAGAATGCAGTTTGAGAAGATAAAAGGAGCAAGGTTGTTGCAAAATAAAATGGAGGCACGGGGTGGCAAGAAAGTGATCCAAACTGTTATCTATATAGAGCAATTATAAGAAAGTATACCTATGAATGAATTTGAAAGGGGAAAAATAAAAATAAAAACTTTTTGCAAAAAAAACCCAGAACAAATCTAGCTTCCTTCCCTGAAATTTGTTGTCAGAAACTGGCTGGGAAGTTTGCAAATGGTGATCCCATGACCTGGGGATGCTGCAACCCATCATAAGCATGTGTCGGTTGCCAAGTGTTCACATTCTGATCACCTGAGCATGGGGATGCTATGCCAGTTGTAAGCACGCGGACCAGATCAGCATCATTGTAAATTGGAATAGTCGCTAAATGAATGGTTCTAAGTCGAGGACTATCTTATTGTTGCTGTTAGTTGTGAAATCGTGTCCGACTCATAGTGACCCCATGGACAACATTCCTCCAGGCCTTTCCTGTCCTCTACCATCCCCTGGGGTCCATTTAAGCTCACACTGACTGCTTCAGTGACTCCATCCAGCCACCTCCTTCTCTGTTGTCCCCTTCTTCTTTTGCCCTCCATCATTTCCAGCATTAAGACTATCTACAGCCGCCTTAACAATCATGTCTGAAAATCCTGGTCATCACAGTTGGTTATGGCTGTTTTTGTCAACCTTCCTTGTAGACCTTCAGCTCCCAGTGATATATGGGGAGAAAGAAGGCTTCTAAACCAGCTAAGAACTGGTCAGTTTCTTAGCCAGCAGACAAGTTTTACTGCTATATTATTTATCGCTTCAAAACAAATTCCTCCAGCACACAATTGGAACGAAGAATTCGAACAGAAATTGATGCATGGCATAAATTTGCACAGAAAACAGGTTATCCACGGTCATGTAGCAGTTTTCAGAATCAAGAGCAGAAGACACTCACTTTGCCTGATGAACCAAGGAAGTGTTGCCTAATCGGAGGATCATCGGACCTTTGGGATTGCGTATCTTCTTCACCGATGAGGTCTTCAGAAGACCAAACCTTTTGATTAGGTTAAATCCTGGAAAAGAGAAGAAGGTAAGCTGAGAATCTGTTGAGAATTTGGGATGTTATAATGCAATGCAGGGAGGGGAAAACACCAGGTTGGGGAATCTGATTTCACCATCTATCTTTTGAACTTTCTCTATTGGTTCATAATATCTTCTCTATTCACCCTGAAGGATAATAAAGGCTAATCCATGAAAATGTAAAATACAGGGGAATAATAAGCTGTAGGGCAGTGATGGTGAACCTATGGCACATGTGCCAAAAGTGGCACACAGAGTCAGCTCTCTGGGCATGCCGCCTGTTGCCTGTTGCTCTTCTGGGTTCCTGCATGCATATCTTTGCATGCGGGGGCACCAGAAAACACAAGATCAGCTCCCTGGTACACATGTGCTCACTGGGAATATGAGCTTCAGTTTCCAGCACACACATGCATGCCAGCCAGTTGGTCTTTGCACACACATGCACGCCAGAAACCAAAAGACCAGGTGACCAGTGGGCATGAACAGAAGCTCAGTTTCCCGGCATGCGCACACGTGCCAGGAAACTGCTCTTCCAGTTTCCAGCATTCCCCCACGAGCGTGTGTGCACTCCAGTGGTGGGTTTCGATTTTTTTTAGAACCTATTCTGTGGGTGTGGCCTATTTTGTGGGTGTGGCTTGGCAGTCATGTGGCCGGGCAGGTACAGCCAACTTGACATCACTCATGCACACTCAGTTACATGACCACCACCCCCCCAAGCCATGTGGCAAACATTTTTGGGAATCCAATGAAAGGAGAGGTGGGGAAGAGAGGGGAAAACCTCCCCAAAATAGACAACTGGAGGATTAAGAGCTGAAATTAGAGAGATCGGAGGAGGCAAGACAGAGAGGAATCCAGTAGAAAGCTATCACACGCTGGGGAAAGAACTTTGGGGAGAACGGAGGAGGCACGACACAGAGGAATCCAGTAGAAAGCTATCACCCGCTGGGGAAAGAACTTTGGGAGATCGGAGGAGGCAAGGCAGAGGGGAATCCAGTAGAAAACTCCTGAGCTTGTTGCTGCTGTCTGGTGGATTGTGCCACTGGACCTCTCCATGCTTCTCTGTTCACCACCTCCATTCTCAGGTATGAGACTTGACACCGAATTGGGCTAGGATAGTGCGGACGGGCAGGGGGGAGCGAGCAATGGAGCAGCTTCTGGATGGGCAGGGGTGAATGAGGAGCAACAGGGCCGGGGCAGGTGTTCCAGAAGTTGCTTCCGGGTCCACCGGTTGAACCTCCTCTCACAGGATTAGTAAATTTCACCATCCGGTTCTCCCGATCTGGTGCGAACCAGCAGAAACCCACCACTGGTGCACTCCCATTTTGGCACTCGGTGCCGAAAAGGTTCGCCAACACTGCTGTTGGGATAGCATTAGAAGGGATAGCTGTGGGTCTTTTATAGGTGAAAATATGTCCATCTTTGAGTGTGGAGCATCTTTAGTGTTTATTGAGATTGGCTATTCCTTTAATTGGTCTAAACCAGTGATGGCTAACTTTTTGTCATCATGGGATGAAAGCACATGTGTACTCCCTTGCCGTATGCCCTGCCACCTATGCATGCGCACATGTCCCCCTGTGCCCCATTTTGGGCCTAATAGGCCTCCCTGCAGCCTTCTTGGAATAAAAACGGGCCACAAGGGGTTGCCCCCCCCCACATTCATGCGCATCTCCTGCATGCCCCCCTCCTCTTTCGTATGCATGGCAGAGACCTGAAAATCAGCTGGCTAGTGGGAGGCATTCACACATGCACAGTGGAGCTGAGCTGGGGTGACAGCTTGCGTGCCCACAGAGAGTGCTCCATGTGCCACCTATGGCACTTATGCCATAGGTTCACCATCATGGGTCTAAATTAAGAAAAGGCATAGCATTTTTCCTTCAGGAAAATAAGGACTTCAAAATGTTGAAGCTTCAGAGTCTTTCCACCCATCATATAAATGTCACCGTCCCAAAGTTACGATGAAACTGCAAAGCATCTCACAAACAGACACACAGATGCACTCCATCCAAAACTTGAATTTCATTGTGATCCATCTCATCTAGCAACTATTGCTATGACACAATAGTTGGTGTCTTTTCAGGGGATTTTACAGTACGGATCATCTCGTAGGAAGTGTACAATTGCCTGCTGGAAGCTGTCCAAACAATGTGTGATGAGATTAGCTCAGTCCTCAGGGAACGATAGATGGGGCACTTCAGGAGTCCATAATCAGCTGTTTCCCCTTCAGTGTTCAAATATCTGAATGAATGCTTTTGATAGCGGATATGATTAAATTTTCCCATCAAAGGCATCCAGAATAGGGGGCCTAAGACATAAATCCCCTTCTAGGCAGAGGCACAAGGACTGGATAAAAAGGATTGGGTATTGTAAAAACGCAGGTACATAACATATTTACAGCAGGGATGGGAGATATTTAGCTCCATCCTTTGGTATGTTAAGATCAAAACATTTTATGTCTGATCTCATTCCAGGGGGGGAAAAGCATTGGGGAATAAACTTGAGATGTTTTGAAATGTCCCCATTTCAACACATCATGTCTTTTGTCTGTGCCAGTGCAAAGGATGCTGGGAGTATCTTTTGGAACATATCACGATCATCCCTTAAAAGAGCGTTTCTAAATCTTAGCAACAGAGGGAAGGAGACACCTGAAATTAACCTTGCCCATAAGTCCTGAGGCACCCTCTTTGGCTTGCTAACATGACCCTGTGTCTAAGCAGGAACATCTGTTGTAGCAACAGCTCCATAAAGGATCCATAAACATCTGTTGTAGCAACAGCTCCTTAACTTTCTTAAGGCAGTGTTTCTCAACCTTAGCAACTTTCACACACCTGGGCTTCAACTCCCAGAATTCCCCAAGCAACATAGTTTAAAATAGTTAAACCTCAGCTCAGTTTGCTGGCTGGGGAATTCTGGAAGTTGAATTCTACACATCTTAAAGAGCTGGGGAATTCTGGGAATTGAAATTCACCCGAGTCAAAGTTCTTAAGATTGACAAACATTGCCTTAACATAATATCCCTTTATGGAAATGTTGCTGCAAAAAACATGGTACACACAGGGGCATATTAGCAAGGCAAAAGTGACCACTGAAGTTATGGGGACCTCTGATTTCAGGCAAAGCAGGTGTCTCCTTCCCTCTGTGCTCCAGGTAAGGTTGCAGGCCATGGTTTTTAAAGGAGAGGATCTAGTTTTCACCCTTGATGCCTGCATTCTAAGTAATGCACCCATAGAAACTGGTGGGCATAATATTTCAATCATTTCAACTTCACAATGAACTACATCCCTGAGGGGAATGTATCTACTAGCACAGTGATGGTGAACCTTTTTGGCACCGAGTGGCCAAACTGGAACTCATGTGCATGCCTGTTTTGGGCTGGTTTCAGGCAGTTTTTCAGGCCATTTTCAGGCAGTTTTGGACCACTTTCAGACCATTTTTGGCCCTTTTCCAGGCTGATTTCAGGCCAATTTTGGCCTGAAAACAGCCCAAACACGGCTGAAAAATAGCCTGAAAATGGCCTGTTTTTTGGCCCTTTTGGGCTGTTTTGGGGGGCATTTTCAGGCTGTTTTCTGGTGCTCCGGCACCCACAAAGACCAGCTGGTGACTGCGCATGTGGCTGCAGAGAGGGCTCTGTGTGCCACTTCTGGCACGTTTTCCATAGATTCGCCATCATGGTAGTAGCAGATGCATTATCACAAAAGCCCCAGTACAACAGCAAATGGGAGGAGGTGATTCACGCCATGCTCCCCCCCCGCCCAGCCAGCCTCTCAAGCCACCGCCCAAAGGCAAGCGCAATGGCAGAAGGATGGAGACAGTGAAGCTCTAACACAAAAGTTAAAAAAACAAACTGCTGAATGACCTCTGGCACAAAGACAACCCTCAAAGATGGGCTAGCATGGAAAGGATCCAAACTTTACTTCCCCATCAGCCTGCGCCTCCAAGTACTCCAAAGGAGCCATGATTACATACAGGCTGGGCACTTCAGCTATCTAAAGACCCTACACCTGGGAAGAAGGCAATTTTGGTGGCCAAGGATGAAAAAAGGCATTGAAGACTAGGTCAAAAGCTGTGCCACCTGTGCAGCCATGAAAATGAGACCAGGAAAGCCCCCAAGGGCTGCTCCAACGTGGAGGATCCTTCCCATCCATGCGAGAAAATCACTATGGACTTCATCGTAGTACTCCCTGATAGTGGGGGAAACATGTCATCTGGACCGTAATAGACCTATTCTCCAAACAAGTCCATTTTATGACACCCACATTCTGCAGAGGAGCAACAAAGTTGATTAGGGCACTGGAGGCAAAAACATATGAAGAGCGGTTGCAGGAACTGGGTATGTCTAGTTTAATGAAAACAAGGACTAGGGGAGACATGATAGCTGTCTTCCAATATCTCAGGGACTGCCACAAAGAAGATGGACTCAAGCTATTCTCCAAAGCACCTGAAGGAAGGACAATAAGCAATGAGGGGAAATTAATCAAGGAGAGGCTTCCTTAGAACTAAGGAAAAATTTTCTGACACTTAGAACAATTAATCAGTGGAAAAATGTGCTTCCAGAAGTTGTGAATGCTCCAAAACTGACAGTTTTAAAGATGTTGGATAACCATTTGTCTGAAATGGTATAGGGTTTCCTGCCTAGGCAGCGGGTTGGACTAGAAGACCTCCAAGGTCACTTCCAACTCTGTTATTCTATTATATTCTACTTCTTGTCTTCCATTTCTCAGCTCTGGGAAAAGTGCCAAAATGACAATCTAGGCTGCAGTCATGAAATGGCAGACTAAGGTTGTGTTCCTTGGATGGATTTGAGGCTTAGAGATCAGGCTTTAAGGTAAAAGGAAGGATTTGATGATATCTGGGCTGTGATCCCTACAGCTGCCTTACCTTCTGCCACATCCCACCCTACCCCATCTGCCCCTGCGGAAGACAATGCCAAGAAAACTTGAGAGACCGCCTACTGCCAATTACCTCCACTCGACCAATTAGATCCCATAGATTAGGC